CTTTTTTATTGATTCCTTTAAAATTCTTGCAGAATAGAATAGTCTGAGGGGACTGGATGTTACACTTACCATTGGTATAAACCTCTCTGGAAACATTTATTGTAGTTATAGCATGTAGAGACAACAACATTTACATAATGTATCAGCCAGCATGTATTTACACATTTACTCATCATTATCACATTAACTGGCCATTGTTATGAATGTGACTGCATTAGACACTGCATAAGGAAGTTTAACACGTGAGGGATTTTAATCCTCTGTCTGCTGTTTGTGTGTTTTTCCTGCGTTATGGATGCCATCTGCAGTATCTGATTACTTTTGCTACACCGGCCTCGAGCCACTGTACATCATTCCACCAGATTGATCTGCAACTTCAACAGAATCAGCAGGTTTCCTCCAGGCTCACCTGGAAATCAGCGAGCTGGGCAGTTATTGCTCATGTGTGTGACAAAGGTAATATCCATCCGGCAGATTCATTATGAAAAGAGCGTGAATAAGGTGATCTACGGCCAGTGAGTCTAATGTTCAGTCACACTTTCTTACTGTGTGTCTGCCCTCATCTGTCTACCTTGACCTGTTTTGTTTAGCTGGCAACACTGGACTTCATATTCTTAGATTCTGACATGGAGATGACATGTAACCACTGAATATAATATAAATAATATAAATCCACTAACTTTTCAAATTTTGTTTGTATGTTTGCTTCAGTTTCTACTTTGTTGCGTAACCTCTTAAGGGTTACACCAGAGTCAAATACAGCCAGACAGACAGTAAAAAGTTGGCATATTTTGTTATCGTACAAGAAGTTGGAGCTAATGTCTGTCTTTTCCTTTACATTCATGGCTTCCTCATGGTTAACACCTACATATGGCTTCAGCCAAACTAAGGTGCCAAACATCGCACTGTCTCTAGGCAACAGGAATATGCTATTCTCAGTATAGATATTGTCTGATTTCACAGGCTTTTCCAGTCAAACAAATGTCCAAACCCTCTTAATTTGTCAAGGTCAAATGTCCTGTGAGAGAAGAAACGTGAGTTGTGTCTGTTCAACATTAGTGACTTAGTGTTATCTGAATATAAACCCTCACATTCACTCTTTTGTTCACAGTCACAATGTGGTCATCAGGCAGACTTATTACAGAGTTTATTGAGGTTTGATATAATGCAATTTGGGAGTGAACAACACAAACTATGAACTATGATGAAAGATCTTGCATTTGTGATGTAACACCTACAGTATGCTCATTTATACAATTCCCTTCTTTGCACCCACTCACTAACACACACACACACACACACACACACACACACACACACACACACACACACACACACACACACACACACACACACACATACACTTACATACATATACAGTACATGTGTGAAACAAACACATGCTGTAGTTTAGACATTGCACTGAGTGTAGTGAAGCACAGAGTGTGTACTGATTGGAGTATCATGCCCTCTTCTGGCAGGTTGTTTGCTGTCTGTTAGAGAGGATGAACTGCAGCTGTAGCTCTGTCCACCTCCAGTCTGCTCAGTGGATTTCATGCACAAGCCTCCTCTTACACAGTCTTAGTTTTTTAATTCCTGAGGGAGGTTTATTTTTCCTGTATTTGACCTACCTCCTGAGGGTAATTGAAAAAGAGGCTACTGTACAGTGCCACCCAGAACAAGTGAAGTACATTTACTCAAGTACGGTACTTAGGTACAATTTTCCCATATGAGAATATGTAATTGTCAAAACAGCTTAAGTGAATCAATCAACTAATTGTTAATCATTCTAAATCAGCAAAAATAAGATAAAATAAAGATATAGAGGACAGTGCTGTCTCTGAGGCACTATAACGCCTTGTGTGTGTATGTTGGTGTATGCTCTGCTCCACTGGCTAAACTAACACATCACGAGAACCTCATAACCTAACTCATAAGTCCTAACAATCTAATGTCCGTATGGGAATCTACAAAGTGGTGCCCAGCAGATATGCTTTTTCCCGCTCAGCTTTGGCTCGCTACATGTACTCATAAAATGTTGAGTTAATGAACAAACATGCATGATATCCATATACAGTAACACAACAGGCTGTCCTGTGAGTCAAGGGCAGCATGTCAGTTCAGTCTGGGAGGGGAGCGGTCCTGGTGATGTCATTTTTATGTTACACTGAAGGACACCAGGATGAGATTAAAGTGAGTGAACAGGTATTAAAACAGGAATGGAAAAGTGTCAGCCTCTCATCACTTCATCTGATGTCGCCATGGAGACACTATGAGATTTTAATATTCATTGTCTCGTGGATGCCAACAGTTAGTATAAAATCCCTTCCATTTGCTGAGTCTTTTGCCTCCATATTCACAAGCACACATGAAATTATCCAGTATTTTAGGGTGTTTTTATAGCTTAGAATGAATTATGGGGAATCGCTGACCCAGGGCCAGCTCCATCACAGCAAGGACAGTGAAGGGACAGAAAACCTGAATATGATTTCCTCTCACTGACATAATAAGAAGGATGAATACTCCAAAAGCAACTTTAACATATGCAAATAGAAGGGTATTTGACATTATGTGCAGAAAAAAAAAAGAAAATAAAAAGCTCATAACATTTGTGGTAGAAACCAGAGCTAAAACTATCTTTCTGTCACTGCCACTGTTGTAACAGCAGATAATGACAGCCTACATGTGAGTAGACCCTCTGAAAAACACAGGATGCACAAAACTTTATTTCCAAAAAAGGAACAAAAGTACAGGATGATTTTATTTTCAGTTGAGAAGCACAGCCTGATTTAGTTTTGTTCTTATTGTTTGCTCAGAGCATTAGTTGGCTTTTTGAGGCCAGAATCGGCCTGTTGTCTCAGATCCACCTCACTCTGGTCATTCATCACAGGGAAATTGAATTGTTCTCCATGCCAAGATGCCACAGTGTACAATCAGCCATTAGTTTTTAGCTCAACAGCTGGATGCTCCTGTAGCAAATTGCTGTAGACTGCCCTGGGATAGGGCTTTGATTTATCTCCTTTGGGGAACCTGCTGGCTAAGTGGCCAGTCAGTCTCTGGAGGTAGGAATATATCAGAGCCTTGAGTCTTGAATGTGAGACTCAAGGCTCTGATATATTCCTACCTCCAGAGACTGTCAGTGTATCACAGCCTCATGTGTCCATGTTTCTTTTTGGCATGTCTCCTCACAATATGGTCTTGTACAAAAAGTTTTTGTGGGACTTTGAAGCATTCTTTAGGACTGAGTGGGTCATTATCTTAAATTGGTGCCTTTTAAGTCCATGCAACAAACTTTAAAGACCCTATGTATAGGAATTTCTCACTTTTGTTACTCCTAGTGTTAGAGTATAGGAAGGAACAGCATGGTGTTAAATTAATTTAATATTCATAGTTATATTTATAGTATATAATATTTAATAAAAAAAATACTTTTTATTCATAAAATAGAACTTACATTGGTTAAAGTTATAAAGGACCACTGAGTTTTTCATGATTGAATATTGTGTGATAATTTAGCAAACTTTTACTACAAAATGACTACTAAAGTACATAATAGTGTGTTAATGAATGAAATACAGATGTGGATACACATACGGTATACGTCAGAGAGAGTCTTTTAGCCCTTTTCCATGAACATATGCTGGCTTGGCTTGATTCAGTTTGACTTGGCACATCAGCCCAGCACAGCACACTTCAAGGTGTATCTTTAACTGATCAGTGCCCTCTGTAGTGCGGTTTACTACTACACTGTGAAATGGTTGTTGCTGTTGGATTTTCAGGCTGTTGTTACACAATTTTTCTTGGCATGTGACACTGATGAAGTATCTGCTGTGTCTGGCAATAGCAGCAGGAACATGTTGCTGAATCGTTACTGAATGATGAAAAAGCCCATCTGACCTCATCGCAACGGTCGGGCGCGCTTTGACCACATTGAGATGGTCTACATTGGGTGCGACTGGGCACAGTTTAAACTGGTAATGGAAGTCCAGATCAACACCAAATTGTTTGACTCATTTTGGCCAAAACTGCCAATAGAAAAGCCCCGATAGTGACTTAAAGCTGCATTCATCACTTTTTGGCCAAAAAACATCAAAACAAACAGACGGACAAACAGCCACAGTTTTGGCTAATGGTTAAATGTTACGGCTAATGTGTTACCAAACACCTGGCTACTTTCACATCTAGCATGTATAAATAAATAAGTAAATACAAAGTCCACAGCAGAGTAATAAAAAAGTTAAAATGTATAAATAGAAAAAGGGGATAAAACAGATAAATAGCTCTTTAAAAAAGCTAACTAAAACGGTTGCTAAAATGTAGCTCGATGTTTGACTTTCTTCACCAGCTAGTTGCTAACTTTGTCTCTTTTGCTGAACGTTACAGAGGAGTTATTTCAGGTTTCGTTAGAGTCCAGAGGGTTGTATTTGGTAGCCCGTTGAGCTCTCAGGTAGCCAAAGTCATGATGGTGAGCTAGCAAAGAAAATAAACATGGCTGACTATTTTTCAGTCTGTGTAAACGTGGATAGCACACAAACAAAGTTACTGTCCCTGCTGAAACTAGTCCTGTTGTATAGTCAGCAAATTCAACTAAAGGAATAAATGAATAAAACTACAATTCTATTGAGAAATATCTGTTACCGTGCATCATTATTGTGCACATATAAGTTTAGATTGAGAGTATGGTGCTAGCGTTTAGTTTTCCAGTTTCAAGTGAAGAGATTAGATTATCATTATTACTATTATTATTATTATTATTATTGTAGATAGTAATAAAAAAATGAATTATCCTTTTTCAGTGTTATAACTCGTTTCCACTTTTACTTATATATATATATAAAAGCAGTTTAAACTATCACACTGGCGATATTTGGTTGCTTCCTGTGAGCCAGCCTAAACTCCAATAATACCGCGTGGCACTTGGAGACACAGGAAAAAACCAGGTTGTTTCGAGGAGGGGCCTGCAGTCAGATTTCGGAGGGCGACCCCTAACATCCTGTTTTTGCCGCTGCTCTACACACGCAGCGGCAGTACGCGAGCACAGGGAGAGGCCCATCCACATGAGCTACAGATCATCTGCCGAGCTGTGGGAAGTCCGAGTTATGCCTCCCTACTATCTCAGCATCCTTCCCAGCAATAGGGAAAAAAAGGAGAAGCTAAACAAGCAAAAGTTTTTCCTCTGAGTCGCGAAAAAGAGGAGTCGACATGGATGAAAAGGAGCTGTTTGTGTGAATAAACGAAAGGACTGGCGCAAACCCCTCTTCAACACGGTAAAAGAATGATAACATAGCTAGCACTTTGTGTTGCTTTTTGTATGAGAGGACACGAAAACCTCAACTGTGGGAAAGTTTGAAGCAGGGACTGGCTATGGCGCGGGAGACCGAAGACCCCGGGATGGCCAAAGCCTCAAAAGTCAAAAGGCAAAGAAAGAAGAAAACTAAGGAGAACAAAACAAGGACTGTGCACGCAAACTTACTCTATGATAACGCCAAAGGGGAGGAAAACCCAAACCGACACTATGCAAACAACAAGATTAAGACGACTAAATACACTGTGCTGTCTTTCCTGCCAAAGAACCTTTTTGAACAGTTTCATAGGTTTGCCAATGTTTACTTTGTTTTCATCGCTTTGCTGAATTTTGTTCCAGTTGTCAATGCGTTTCAGCCAGAACTGGCCCTGGCTCCTGTCGTTTTTATTCTGTCTGTCACTGCCATCAAAGACTTATGGGAGGACTACAGGAGACACAGGTCGGATAAAGAAATCAATCACATGGATTGTCTGGTCTACAGCAGGTAAGTTGGGCCTAAACCCCCCGGCAACGTCCAGCTGTTGCTGAAACCTTGTGTTTGTGTTTGTGTGTGTGTTTGTGTGTGTGTGTGTGTGTAGATATTTGTCCCCATCCTACAATCTGCCCTTCCTCAGTGCATCTCACACACATTCACAGCAGCTGATCAGGGCAGAGAGTGAAGAACAATCAAGACACACTCTCTTTACTTTCTCGCCAGATCATGCAAGCTGGCCTTCATGCTGGAGCCCAGCTGTCAGCCTCCTAGTCTCTCAGTTTGTGGGTCCAGGATGGGAAAAAAAAACAAACATTTCAGGCCTGAGAGTTAAACCTGGCTAACACATGAGGAATAAGTATCACACGTGGAATCCAAAAGTCCAGTAAACCTGTCTTTCAGGGAGGTGTGAAACAGTTTCTCTGATAATACAGCTGTTGCCTCAGTGCTGTCATTATTGATTATGAGTCATTATGTCACCTGACAACCTGTTTCTCCCCCAAGCTTCCTCTACTATTAACTATTTTCCCGAGCCTGTGTGTGCAGAGTGTATTTTGCTAATGAAAAGCAGCACTGTCGTCCATGTACAGAGCATAATTCATGGTAATCAAAAGGCTCAGTGTTTAGTGGCTGCACAGTTTTAGCAAAGTCTTGACCCATGTTGTTCTGTCAAGGTTGGACATAATTGAATTTTCTTGTGCTTTGGCGATAGTGTACAAAACATCCTCTTTCTCAACCTGGCAACAGCTGACTCGACTAAACCGCAGCGTTATTTAATTTTTCTCAAGGTTAAATACACACTCGCTCAAACACTTTCTTTTTCCTGAGAACTTTTAACTGCAGGTCAACCATATCTAAATGGTTTACCTAATAAATCTCATCTTCAGGCGGTCAGTCTTCACGTGGCAAAGCAGAAGGAGCTTGTATTTATGATATGGGAAATTCCATTTTTATCAGAAATGCTAATATTTACAAAGTCTGAATGATGGGAACAGCCACGTGCTGGTAAATGTTTCTTCCCATTTATCATGACTGATTGGAGCAACTACAAAGGCGTAGACACACCCAGTCAAATCAGGCATTTGTACTATTACACTAATACATTTAGTTTACTGGAATGTAAATAGTTTGTTCTTAATCTGCTTTACACAGTGTGGACAACATCCGCTGCTGCTGTCTACGATCTGGAGGTCACTGAACGTCCACTTTGAGCAGTTTATCCTGCTGTTTTCTATCTAAACTGATGTATTCCTCTATAACTGGATGATTAATTAGTGAAGTGTGTGGGCCATTTTTCCTGCTCTCTCTTTACTGTAGTTATTTTGCAGTCATGCACAAAGAATGAAAGATAGATTTCACATTTAAGCAGCATTGAAGGACAGACTTTGCCAGTAGACGGCAGAAATAATGAATTTTCATCAGACAGACCGTCCTTGTTCCACTTTCTGTGTTTGTTCCAGGGAATATTTCTCATGGGTTTCGATGCAAGCTTAGAAAAACAAACGATAAAACAATCAACTAACAAAGCATATTATAGCATTTGGAGAATCTTAATACAAAAGGCACAGGACTCCCTTGATTTTCCTCTTTTCAGGACTGTCGCACTCATTTTAACGTTTAAGGGAAACTTTTCCTCCAGCGTTGTATCGTTACAGTGTGGGATGAGCATATTGCCTGCACCCAGAGCCTTTCGTGTCATCCAGCCGGTTTTTGCCGGCTCTAGGGCCGTTCAAACTACAGATTGTACATGTTTACATGCGACTGTCATCCAGTATGACAGTTGGATCGAGAGAGGGGCCGCTCACAGAACTCAAACTGTCAAACTAAGTAGAGCTGATCAAATATGAATCAAGATTGTGTTTCTGCATTTCTCGCCACAAATGTTAGAGATAATAAGAGAAAAGTCTGTGACCAGGCCGCCATTTTTTCCCACTTTTCCCAAACCAAGCAGTACGTCACCCACAGCTGGAGCTTTTGGTAGTCTGTCTGGCCCAGTGCATTCTGGTTATTGTAGGTTTTCTACCACAACAGCCCTTTTTTTCTCTGTTTTCTCTGGTCATGTAGCCCCAGTTTCAAAAATATATTTGCATCTTTCTTCTGCACAGACAGGCCAGTTCTGTGAAGAGACCATCTTTCCAGCAGTGAAAAACCCCTTCAAAGTGTTTGCAGTAGCTGTGAAGAACAAAGATCACCAGTAGAAAGAGAGCTCAGTGGTATTTCCAACAGACATAGTATTCATAGATGCACTATCTAGGTATGTTATGGTTACAGCGGGGTATATGTTTAATAAGGTGTGAAGTCAAAGATAACATAAACCATGTGCCCATTAGATTCACACGTATATAAAATGTAAATCCCCCGCAGGGAAAGTAGGTTACGTGTTTGCTAACATTTTTTCAACAGTGATTTTCTATCTTTGTGATTATCTATGGGAACTTACAGTAAGTAGTGTTTGGTTTACATTAAAAATTGATGATCAAAAAAATAGTTAACTTGATGCTTATTTATTCAGTTTGAACTGCCACTACAACTAACAGTTATTTTCATTATCAATTATTCTGCCTGTTTTCTTGATTCATTTTTTAAGATGGGAAATGTGAAATTACAGTTTATCACAGCCCAAGGTGATGTATTTAAAATTGTTCAACAGTCCAAAACCCAATAATATGACAGATATGACAAAGAAAAGCAGCAAAATCTTCAAGCGTGAGAAGCTGGAGCCAGACAATATCCGGTGTGCTTGACTACAATACATGATTGTTCATCAAAACACTCAATCAATCAATATACTATGAAAATACTTTCAATTTTCTGATGATCAACTAATATTTGAAATTCTATGCTGCATTGAAACTTTGACAATTTAAGTCTTTCACTGTAGCACAAAGTAATTTATTTAATGAAGCACTTCAGGGAACTCGCTGACTGATCAGCCCGCTGTATCAGTTAGTATATTTTTCATCTTGCTCTTACAGTCTCTGTATAAATCAGACGACTTTTTCTACAATAGTGAACTCTACAAATCTGAGTCTCTTATTGAACAATACTGTGCTCTAACTTTGGCAAGTCTATTCTTTGTCCTCAGGCTATTGATCCATTTTCAGGCAATGGAAAAATAGGGAAAAGAGCAAATGTTACTGACATAAGTTTTTAGTTTGCCGTTGTCATTTTGATTTAGTTCTGTTTGCCATCTGTTTGTCCAGTCTGCAATATAAAGTGCATGGAAACAGTCAGCATTTCAGTGACAAAATTCAAGTGAAGGCATGTTTTTATATAGTCGGGATGTGAGTCATTAATGCCAGGGGGGTTGTTATGAATAAATAACTGAGTGTTTTTTCCTTTTGTTTATAGCCTGGTGATATGCATTATTTAGCTTATTTGCTACCAGGAATATCATTGTTCACAAATGAACCCTGGTTACCACTAAAGTCTTGTCCGTTCAGAATAGTGACATCATTTACAGTATCCTTACATTACACCACACACTCATTTGTGGTAAGAAGAATAACTCTGTTGACATGGACTAGAAATAGAAAACCCTGGTGGAATTATGTTTGTTTAACCCTCTGAAAAGTGTACCCACGTCTCTGTGTATAATCCAATGAAGATGCATTGCTGTGTTTTTTTGTATTTTGACGAACATATTGAGGAAGAAGTTGAGAGGTTTATCTCTGGCTAGGTGGAATTTGGGAGTTGCTCGCAGCAGCTTTAGCGTCAACAAACATGCCGTCCTCTTTCATGCACAACATATTTGCTGTCCCGTACAGATTTATGGAAGTCGAGCTGACGCTTCTGTTTATAGAACCACCAATTATTGAAAACAATGGCTCCACATCTTACACCAGCCGTTTGCCCTCTCATTGTTCTGGCAGAGCGGAGAGAAGCTATGTGGAGAAGTACTGGAAGGAGGTGCGGGTGGGAGACTTCATCAGGCTCCGATGTAATGAGATCCTCCCCGCTGACGTTCTGCTGCTGAGCTCCAGTGACCCTGACCGCCTGTGCCACATCGAGACTGCCACACTGGACGGAGAGACCAACCTCAAGCAGAGGCAGGTCGTCCGCAGCTTCTTTGACCTGGTGAGACGGCCGCTCCTTACATTATGTTTCCATCTTGTCAAAATTGGGTCTGTGTTGGATGAGTGTAAAAATGTTATTTTTGGATTCAAAAGTTCAGCATACCCAAAATGCTGAACATTAGTTATGCTTCCAGCTGTTTCAGCATGTTACTGAATTACTCAGGTTGCCCAGACACCCAAAGTGTTCATTTAAACTACTTGTGTGTTAAATGGTTTTTCTTCTGCCGATTGGAAATAAGCATTTCCCCTGGTAGTGGGCATTTACCCATATTAAAAATACTAAATCATCATTTTCAGTTTTACTACTGTGTATATTGAAGTTGTGTCTGCAACAAGTTACTAATACCGGTCGTTGCTGTTTACCAAACCTAAAGGTTTTTTCTGCTTTTGGTGACAATTCATTTTAAGTAGTAGAATGGTAATATTGGTCATTTATGATAATTAGTTAATCAGTATAAAAATATAATAATAATATCAAGTGAAAATATGAATCATGATTTGGTTGCTTTTAACAGTTTCATATCATTAGAAATGGAGTAATTTGGATGTTTTGCCTGTTTTTGTAGAATAAAATCCATTTTTTAAAACACTGTAAGGCAACAACAATAACACCAATAGGAGTCACTTCATATAGGTTTCACATGGGCTGTAGTCTGTTTAGATGCATTGCATTATATTGAGCAATCTATATCGATGACATAAACACCTCTCAGTGTAATGCACTGTTGCTAAACTGCACAGGGCAACATCCAGTTTTAATTGGGACTCATATGGTCAGAGGTTGTTGCCCCTGCCTGAATAATCAGCTGTTTTTTTGTTTTTTGCAGGATTGTGATTTTGACCCTATAAAGTACAACAGCATAATTGAATGTGAGAAGCCCAACAATGACCTGAACAGATTCCGAGGCTACATGTGAGTACTCTCTTGTTCAGTCCGCTCTGTACATTATGTGGTTGATGGCTGCTCACAGCAACAAAAACAACGGTTTTTAACCCAAGATGCTCAGCTCATTTGTTTACTCACACTAAAGGTTTCAAGTTTCATTTTCATTTCACTGTAAATTAATGCAGTGACATTTTGAGCTCTGAAATGGAAATAATGTGAAACTGTGGTTTGTTGACAAGCCAGCAGTTTCCAACTTATAATTATGACTTAAACAGTTTTTCCAAGTCAAGATTATGATTTGCTTTCTTGGGATGTGGTGGCAGGGTTTTGCCCGTTTGACCATGCACATTTGAAGACGTATGTGCTTCCTCATGACCAGAATAAAATGAAGCAGCAGCTGCTCTGTGCAATGCGTTTACTGAAGCTGTAGTTCTTGGACCTGGACGAGAGCAGGATTGAGTATTTAGCAACAACAACTTGCCCCTCTCTCTCAGCTGATATCCTGTGTTACACCTTACTTCCATTGCAGTAGAAGTGCAGGATATGCTTTTGACAGATAAGACCAAGTTTCATTCAATGATTAAGACCATCCTTGTTCTCATACTTTGTCCCTTTCCCTTATTAATCCCATTTAAGCTAATTGCTATTTAGCTTGTGGATATTGTACTAACCAGTATGTGACTAGTGATATCTGTTCATCCATATTTAGTGTTTTATGTTTGTCAACCAGCTTTTGATATTACACTTAACTGCTGTAGTACATAGTTGTTTAGTATCTCCCGGAGGAGGAAGAGTTATCTTGGCTTGTTTTGGAGACTAAAACCTCACAACCGAAAGGCTAGGTTACAACTGGAGATGTGGGGTTTGAGAGACATGGGCATTTAAAAGAAAGGTGCTACTGAGTTGCTTAAAGGTAAATGTAGATATAGTACAGAATATCTCAGCATCTGCTGCTTTGATTTGAACCTTTTTAATCTGTCTCTTGTGAGTGTCCCAACATTGTGGAAATGCAATTCTAAATTGCTTTAAGAACTTGGATACCCCTCTGCTTCAGTTAGCAGTAATGCAGTACAAATTGGGTTATTTGATGCCTGCAGTGTAATATGTTAGACTTTAATGTGAAGTTTTAAAGTCTACATAAATAAATAAAGTCTCTGTTGTCTGCCTGGCAACTTCATGGTGATAACAAGACTCCAGACAGTCACTACACCCGGCCAAGACATAGTTCATTTTTACACTTCAGTTTAAACAAACAAGGTAAAGTGTGTAAATCAGTGCACTTAAGAGGTTCTGGTAGGCAGATATGATTTATTTATTACCTTTTGACAAAGACAGGCTAGCCCCTGTTTCCAGTCTCTGTGATAAGCTAAGATACCCATCTGCTGGTTCTAGCTTCATATTGATCGTACAGACAGCAAATAAGCGCATTTCCCAAAAATGTTGGAACTATTCCATAGGCATATTCATGGTCTTGTTTATCAGTAGGATGTGGCATGTTTGCTCCCTGCTATTGTTAGGGTTTTCAGAGACCTGGACTTACGCCAGGTCAGTCTACTCAGTCTTTTGGTGTGTTGGATAAGTCTGTATGAGGCAGAAGATTAGAAACATACAGTAAAGTGGCTGCTCTGACCCACACTCACATGATTATGACATTTATTCTTTGCTCAGAAGGAGACCAGATGCTGCAGGCATTCAGTTGCCAGGCTACAGTGGAGCACAGGGCACAGAAGCAGAGTTGAGGAGGGGGGCAGTTGTCTCAGCAGTGTTTTATTACATTACGGGCAATGGCACCAAGTCTAATCTCACTACCTTTCTGGGAGTGAGATTAGACTCAGTGTCTCTGAGTGTTATCCTATGAACTAGGATGAGCTGTGTGTGAACTACGCTGCTCGGCGCTCAGGGACACGGTTATTAACCCTTGTGTTGTCTTAACTTATTGTATACACTACTTGTCCTAAGGGTCAAAAATGACCCTCCTTCACTAAACTTCTAAAATACAGCAGCTTGATTGCATTTTAAACCCCAAATCTATTTTGCATTAAGAAATCATTCAACTGTGTGAATATCTAGGTTTTTCCTCTTCACAGTGCAAGAAAACTGTGTTTAATCAGTGGAATCCACTCGTTTTTATTACATACCTTACATAATTGTTTTCTTTACTAAAGTATTGGTTTATTATTAATATTATTATTATTTTATTATTATTATTATTATTGCTAAAGGTACTGCATAAGTGCAAACATATTTTTTAGCAAACTATATCAATTGTGTAAGAAAGTACAAGAAATGTGGAAAAGTTTTTAATTAATTTTATTATAGAGAAACAAGTTATTATTATAGTATATTATGCTGTACAAGAAAATAGTATCCTTTTTTGAACCATTGCCCCCACCTCACAACAAAAATAAAACGTGAAGCACATTCAGTAAATCAATCAACTCTAAGTAATACATGTGGGACAGTAGGCAAGTTTGTGTGCATGGACTTTGCAGATGTATTTCTCACATGTGCAGCACATCGTACATGTTTTACAGTCCTTCTTTGGGGGGCAGAATTAGCGTCTCCTCTTTCCCTCCCTGGCTGCTGCCTCAGGTGGATCAGGACAAGATTCAGCCCCCTAAACAGCTTTCACAAGTTCTGCAGATGCTGCTGTGCAGGGGAGGCACTCCCTTTTTTGAATGTATGGGGCAACAAGTGCCTTTCCCAGCTGCTCCAGGAACATCCTCCTCTTTTGCCGCTTTTCTGGCATCCAGGGATGGGGATGTTGGGGTTGATCTTCTTCCATATCACAAAGGCATTGTATGAGGACACATCAATGATGTTATGGAAGATGACCAGGGGCCAGCGGGCAGTCTTCCTCCTGCAGCTGGAAGTTCTGTAAGCACCTTGTTCAGGTTGTCCACACCCCCTTTGTTGTGGCTGTAGTCCAGGATGATGGCTGGTTTCCTGTCCTCACCATCACTGATCTCAGCAGGTTGTGCAGTGTGCTTAAGAGGAACACAGTCTTCACCAACTGTTACTTCAGGCCCAGGGTTGTAGAGGTATGGCAGATGTTCCACCAACTTCTCCCAGACCTCTCTTCTGGCCGCAAGTGTGTCTGTCACACGCCTTGCAGGCCTTGAGTCACAATTATCAAATCGTATCATTCTTGACAAAGTATGAAAGACTTTCAGTGGCATGGTTGCAGGAAAATTGCCCTTCCACTCTCTGCATCCCAAAAACTAGATGCAGCCTCACCTCGGGACCTGTACACACCTGCTAGGATTAGCAGCCCGATGTAGGACGCAGGTCAATCTTATCCATCATTTTCATTCATTTTCATGTCTCCATATTTAAGGAAACCCTCCAAATTTGTCATCTCCTGGATGATTTTTTCTATGGCTGGTGTGATGAACATGCTGAATGTTGAGATGATATCCTGGGCATGGGCAACTGCATATCTTGTGGGCCCTGGAGTCATCCTTCTGACATTCTGCCATCCTGCCCTGGTTGTCATATGGTGACCAGGACCATGTTATTTTTCCATTCTTTGACAAAGATGTCTCTCTTTTAGCCTGGGGGATTTCTTCTTCATCTGAAGATGATTCGTCATGCTCTGGGTCGTATTCTTCCCCATCTTCTTCTTCAGATACATCCTCCTGCTCTAAATCACCGTGTGTGTGTGTGTGTGTGTGTGTGTGTGTGTGTGTGTGTGTGTGTGTGTGTGTGTGTGTGTGTGTGTGTGTGTGTGTGTGTGTGTGTGTGTGTGTGTGTGTGTGTGTGTGTGTGTGTGTGGGTGGTTTTTTTTCTGTAGTATGAAAATGATTTTATTAATGCGGGGTCAAAAATGACACCTAAACTAAATGTACCCTGTTGGTGTGCAGATTTCATGGAAATTAGTGCTGTCAAACCATTAAAATATTTAATCGCGATAACTCGCAGTTAATCTCACATTTTTATCTATTCTAAATGTCCCTTGATTTCTTTTTGTCCCATTATTTTTTTTCTCATTTTAATGCTCTTATCAACATGGAAAAGTGGATCGGCTTGCTTTGTGCAAATGTTGTTTTTATTGGAAAATCATCCATTGTCGCCTGGCTCTGGCGAGGGGGCGGAGAATTCGAATCAGCTGTGTGTTTGGCCATCAAGTGGTATTTCAGACTGGACGTGCTGCGATGATAGCTCAGTTCACAACAACAAAACACACAGATCACTTTGGTCTTGTCAATGGAACCATTTGGCAACTTTTTAAAAGTAAACTTTCCATTCAGAATATTATTGGCATCCATTTCGGCGTCTCGCGCTCGCCATCCACTCACAACGTAACGTCTACTACTCTTAAACAAGTTTGTGCGGCGTGCCTGTTGATTTGTTTCCAGTCTAGCTAGATCCGGTGTGGTGTTGTAGTTTTTCTAACGTTACTAGTTGTTGCAACAGCATGTGAAAAAAAAACTACAAAGTGTGCTAGGCCAAAACGAAAGTTAATCTTGCGATAAAAAAATTGACGCCTGTTTAACTGACAGCACTAATGGAAATATGAACAAAGGCAATGTTTAACTTTTTCTCATTTTGGGGTCATTCTAGGAAAAGTCATTGAAGTTTAAGTTAAAAAGATCATTAAGGGGGTTTCCCATGCTGTTAAACATAGTGGCGGGTCATTTTTGACCCCTAAGACAACACGAGGGTTTGGTGGTGACGTGTCAGTGGGCCTGCTGTCAGAGGCCAAAGGATGAACATTCCTGTTAGTAAACATGCTGACAGTTGCATTACTCTGAGAGAGGCTACAGCAGAGATGGATGAGTGCTGCTTCCAGCTAAAGGTTGTGGGGCCTATTAACTCATACACTTGTAATCCTTGATTTAGTAATGGGATTAAGGCTGACATTAAAAGCTCAACCCCCCTCCCACAACAGGCACATTTGCCCGTCATTTAATACAGCTCAACATACATCTCACTTATAGTTAAAAAGCCTTTCCTAATCGGGGTTTGAACTCCCTTTGTGGGCTGGCTAAGAGCTGAATTCAGTCTTTGTATGACACTGACGCTGTAAATGAGCCTGCGAGTTTTACACTTAAGAGTCTGAAGTGGGATCTGAGGGCCAGCCATGAAGCAGTGAATTGCCCGACTGACTGTAAGCTCAAGGGGTTTCTGTTGGGCGGTGCTTCTATATCAGAGGGAATTTGTGCTGAGATAAGGGCTCCTGGTGAGGGAAGACCATGATGCTTCAGAGCGTGATCGATTGAGGTGCTCAGTAGAATAAACTGATGTTGTCTTGGGGGCTCTGGTGTAGAGAGATACTTACTTATTTCTCCTGGACCATCAGTGTTTTTGACCAGAGTGTGAAGACATAACCGTGATCATTTTGCCTTTGTTTGATAACCTTTTGGACAAGTGCTTATAGTAATTTTTATGCATCTTCTAACTTGACAGAATCCATCGAAGTGGCAGAAGAGATGCACTTTACAAAGAGAACCTGCTGCTGAGAGGCTGCACCATCCGCAACACAGAAGAGGCTGTGGGAATAGTCATTTACGCAGGTTGGCCTCCAAATTAACCCTGTTGTCAGCTGTCACACTCCATAATTGACCTCTGACCTGCCGCTGCTAACATGCCGTGTGTCTTTGCAGGTCACGAGACCAAAGCCATGCTAAACAACAACGGCCCGCGCTACAAGCGCAGTAAACTGGAGAGACAGATGAATGTAGACGTGTTCTGGTGTGTCATCATCCTGCTGGTCATGTGCCTGTTTGCTGCTGTTGGTGCGTAGCACTTTAAACTGTTGTTTTGTGGTTTCTGTTAAAACAATTCAATTTAAAACCTGCATTTATTTATCTCTATTGTGAAAGAGTAAAGAAAGTCTCTCTTTGTATTGCATTTTTTACTGTGCTTTTTATTTATATCCTGTCATTCCAGTGTTTATTTGAGTTGACCTTGTGGTGTTGCTGTTCCAGGTCATGGGCTGTGGATGTTTCAGTACGGAGATAAGAGACCTGTGTTCGATGTTCTTAGTCCAGATGGGACAGACTTATCACCCATCATGTCCGCTATTTATCTCTTCCTTACTATGATCATCGTCTTTCAGGTATGAAACACAGAGAAGCTTAAAGAAACAAAAGCACAGATAACGATATAAACAAGACACACAGTATCATTAAGCTTGAAATGTTGCACACAAGCATCGCTGTAAATAAATGGAATAGTGTGTCTCCCCCCAGGGTGTGTGACCTCTAGATCTTTATCTTCACACTTAATCTGCAGTGAGAAACTGCAAAACAATCTTTATAATAGAGGATCAAAATAGGAAAAAGTGCCTCCTGACAGCTATTGATTTGGTTGATTTGTGGTTGGGTTTTTTTGCTTGCATGCAAAAATGTCAGTGAAAAAATGTCAGCCTGTCCTGTGTCAGATGTAGCAGCTAGTTCCCCTGCTATCTGCAAACTTTTGAAATTAATGAGAAGTCAGTGACGATAGCAGATTCACTGTACAAACCGTAACTGTTTGAGGTTGGAGACGTACCAGTATTGCCAGACATTGCTTGATACACTTTCAAATAAACACATGACTCTGTTGGCATTCAGGCACGGGGAGAGTGTACAGGCTGAACTACCCTCCCAAAAGCTATGACTCACTTCTCCGGAACTACTTTCCAGAAATGTGGCCTGGAAATGTCTCACTCGGGATTACACCCACATTTCTTTAAACAATCAAACATATACCTACTACACTTGTATATCATTTCCTAAATTATTCATATTTTGACTTTTGGCAAGGAAAAAACTGAAAAGCTTGAACAGTAATTCCCAAACTTTTTTTGTCAGACATTCTCCCACAGATCTGTTAAATGAACTCGTCCTTGATCCCATGAATTTCATCCATTTATCCATTACCTTTAGTTAACTATTTAAACCGTTTAATTATTAATTTTAGTTAACCACTTCAACTATTTATCCACTACTTTTAGTAAAACTTGAACCATTAATCTTTAACTTTGCTCACTATTTAATCCATTCTTCATTACTTTAGCTGTCTATTTTAGCCATTGTACCATTACTTTAATTTTACTTTATTTATTACTTTTAGTGAGCTATGTGTTTTAAACATTTGTCCAGGGCACAAGATTTGCACCACATTACCAGCTAAATGCTGTAAAATATGTAAGTGGCAGATAGATTTGCTTCACTCACCACTGGCTGGTAAAAATCTTTCATTTTTCTTTGAACATTCACTAGATATTTGGTTGGTGGACATAAAAGTTAGCTTTGCACACTGCATTTAGCATTTTGAGTGTTTATCCATCCCTTTCACTATTTCAACTGTTACTTTCAGCTATTTTAACCATTTATCCATCACTTTTAGCTAACTGTTTCAACTTGTGCTTGCTCACTAACTAGTTTTCACATACTTCAAACTCTTCAGGTGTGACAGTTGACTCTGTGTGAATATATTTTTCCGAATCTTAATTCCTATTTTTTCAAATTAGTTGATATACTCAACAATCTTTCCACAAACCCCCAATAATCTGCAGAAGAACCCACTGGGCCTACAAGTACTCCTGATTGGGAATCACTGCTTTCAAATGAAAATACTGTAAATGTCTGACACAGTAGGCTGGAAAAACTCATAACCAGCACTGCCTCCTCTCTAACAGGAACTCCTTTCCTTCCTAGGTGCTGATACCCATCTCCCTTTTTGTGTCGATTGAGATTGTCAAGATCTGCCAAGTGTACTTCATCCATCAGGACATGGAGCTGTACGATGAGGAGACAGACTCTCACCTGCAGTGCAGAGCTCTGAATATCACTGAGGATCTCGGCCAGATGCAATACATCTTCTCTGACAAGACAGGCACGCTGACTGAGAACAAGATGGTGTTTCGCCGCTGCACTGTGGCAGGGGTGGAGTACTCCCATGATGCCAATGGTGAGACAATCCAGCACACACTCCCTTATCAAAACAGCTAGCAGTCCTTGCCTTTTAAAGTCACTCTTAATGATGCGTGTGTGTTATCCAGCTAGGAGACTTGCTATGTACCAGGAGATGGATTCTGAGGAAGAAGAATGTACGTCTCACGGCGGGACCCTGCCCAGACGGGACAGTGTGACCAGCCACCAGAGCGCCCGGGTGGTGCTGCGCTCTCAGAGCACAAAGTCCCACCGCAGGACGGGCAGCAGGGCGGAGGCCAAACGAGCCAGCATCCTGTCTAAGCACACAGCCTTCAGCAGCCCCATGGTCAGTGCGCCTCACCTTCACACATTTCTCGTACTCTGTGCTGTCCGCTGATAAACCGTCCTCTGACCTGCAGGAGAAAGATATCACCCCCGACCCTCAGCTCTTAGACAAAGTCAATGAATGCAGCAGTCAGATGGACTTTATGCGCTTCCACAGCCAGCCCATGTCCCAGCTGCCCTCTGACCTCGCTGACGTCATTGATTTCTTCATCGCTCTCACCATCTGCAACACGGTGGTGGTGTCTTCCCCCAACCAGCCCAGGCAGAAGGTACAACTCACCTCAACAAAATCTATCCAGTCAAACCATCTTCAGGTCAATAAGGGGTTTCCCATAACCATTTAGAAATGAGGACGTTGACTTGAGATCGGCTCTCAGATAGTTTATTATTTTAGTTTATTTTATTGCACTGATTTTAATCAGTTTATATATTTTACTATATTTAGAGCTCTTATGTTCACAGTTCCAGGTTCGTGTTTGACTTACATTTCTTACACAGAGAGAGAGAGAGAGAGAGAGAGAGAGAGAGAGAATTGTCTTGTCTAACTAGCAGGCAAAGTGGTCCTTGTGTTTAATTACTACAATAGATGTGTCTCTACGACTGGTGAAGAAGCTAAACTTATAATATAGGGCTGCCTAGGTTTCAGTGACAGGGCACTCTTGCAGGAGTAAACAGAAAACTAACAGGACTGATGCTTCATCATTTCATCCCCTATCAGAGTGTCTTCATGCACTTCAGTGTATCACTGCAAATCAAGTGATGATAAATAAGTCAGCCTATACTAGAAAATATTAAATAATGTGGAATAAACACAATGCGTTTAGCAGCTTTTTCTCACCACCGGAGTATTTGAATAACATAACAACATAACAAGATTCATGGTGCTGTAATAACCTTTCACAGTCCTCTATAAAAAATGTTTCTTTTTTGGGTCAGTTTTGCCTTTATAACATTAACAGGAAAGGAGAGAGGGTATGACATGCGAAAAAAAGTCCTAGCCCCTGTCCGCGGGACATAAATAGACCCTTAGGCCAGTCCAACCTGGGTCGGGACCCCAACAAAATGTTGCAAGTTAAATCGGAAGGGTCACAAGATTACTAACACTGTGTGGTGGTTGTGGACGTTTGTTTTCTTGTAAATTTCCTGATAATTTAATGTGTTTGATGAAATATTATTCAAACAAATTAAGGAAAATAATCTTTTGTTGAACTGGTCACAGCTGATAAACATATAGACACAAGTAGACATTACTTTGTTTTAAGTTGTCACAAAACTACAGTGCTGGGAACCTCCTCCCAAGCCACCCAAAAAGGAGTGGTATTATAAGGAGCATCAATAGAGGATCCAACAGAGACTAAATCCACTGATATCTTTCCAAAGCTCTAACACGAGGGTGCCTCTAATGTTGCATGTTTTTTGTTTTGCTTTTTTTGAACAACATGGGAGTAGTTTCCATCTTTTCACACAAAGAATTAAATTTGTTGCATGTTCTTTTGGCTACTTTTCCTAAGAAAACACAGTCTTAAAAGCACAAAAACGTGTGTCCGTGCACGTACATTTGACCGTTTTTCTGCCTCTATCTTTGATGTGCTCGGTCCAGTCGCAGTTGTGTATCCGTGTTTTGTTTTGTTTTTGTGTGAGCACGGGTGTGGTTGTCCTGTTGAGAGGTGATATCCTCTCCTTGCCTCACACTGTGTGCACCAGTCAGAGGCACAAACCAGTTAAGATTAAGCTTTACAAAGTGACACATTATTTATGTACTCTGTGTTTCTGTTTGGAGGTTATCTGATAAGATAGAAGGAAATGTAAATCTGCACAGAAGCACTGGCTTTGATACAGTCTCCTTTTTTTCGTATTTTTATAGTTTGTGCTTTCTTTGCCTTTTGGCCCAATGTAATTGTTCACATTTTATTATGATGCCCTTGCGTCTAACCCGGCACCTGAATGATTTATATCTATGTATGTGAGAACTCCTGCTGCCAGGAGTCCTCAGCGTGAGTCACACTCTGTGCTATTGTACTGCACCACCTTGGGATAAAGCATTGGCCAAAGGATAATAGCCAGGAGGTGCATTTTCATCAGTCAACTCTTCCATATCAATAGAGTTGGACCTGGGTCCTCAAAAGCACCTTAAGGCTCAAATTTTCACAGAAACCCAACTCACAGATCTCTAAAAGGACCAGTGTGTAGGATTTAATGGCATCTAGTGGAGAAGTTGCAGATTGATGAAAATGAGAATGGGCTGTGAAGTGTGTAGGAGAAACTATGGTGGCCTTGAAACTCGTGAAAAAATGTGAGAGCCACTTTCTACAGCCAGTGTTTGCTTTGTCCGTTCTGGGCTACTGTAGAAACATGGCGATAGATAAAAACAGTTCATTCTAAGGTAACAAAAACACAACGATTACTATATTCAGGTGATTATACACTAATGAAAACATACCTATGAATATTATATTCCATTTCTGCCAATAGATCCTCCTAAAAGTTACACACTGGACCTTTAAGGCTGAACATTAGACTTCATAATAATGATGTTTGTAGTTAAATTATTTTTGCTTCTTGTTGCTGCTTAACTCAGGTTTCCTTGTCCTCCAGGTCCGGGTGAGGTTTGAGCTGAAGTCCCCTGTTAAGACCATTGAGGATTTCATTAAACGCTTCACCCCTAGCCGACTGACCTCAGGCTCCAACAACAGCAGCTCCTCCAGCCTCATCACCAACCGCTCCTCCAACAAGGGATGCTCCAGCATGCTGTCTTCCCCCTCTGCAGAGAGCACGCTCACCAAATTGGACGAGGAGCAGCCTCCCAGGGACCTGGAGCACAACTTTGGCCCTGTCCTGCCGTGCTACGACGGGAAGGCTTGGAACCTGGAGGAGGGCGAACTGCGCTATGAGGCAGAGTCGCCGGACGAGGCTGCGCTAGTCTACGCTGCCAGGGCCTACAAGTGCTCCCTCGTCGGACGCCTCCCTGACCAGGTGACCATGGAACTGCCACACCTGGGGAAGCTGAACTTTGAGCTGCTGCACACTCTGGGCTTTGACTCCACCAGGAAACGCATGTCCGTGGTGGTTAGGCACCCTCTGACGGATCAGATCACTGTCTACACTAAGGGAGCAGACTCTGTCATCATGGATCTGATCAAACCCCCTGACACAGGTAGGAAAAGCCATTTTCAGATTGTTGTTGCCGGTGCTGTATCATGTCTGCAGACTTCTCCACCAGAATTGATAAATTGTGGCTGTGAATCCGGGATTGGCGACAAATCATTTGATGTTATCTTCACATGGCACATGAGCTCACTGCACATGACAGAAATTTAAGAATATTTTCACTCTGGTTTATCCCAAGTGATGGCTTGTTTTCAGTTGTAGCTGCTTCTGGTTTTGAAAAATGGTAATAATACTTTGCACTGTCTGTGGACTAACATGCCTGCACAGGGAGGAGGTCTTTGTTTTTATAGAGCACCCAATGTTTGACCATCCCCCCACCCCAAACCTTCATACTTTCCACTGATGTAAACCTATAAGGTAACCTGTTATGTAAGAACTAGTATTTTTAGAGCAAGTCCCTGCTGCAAACCTCTTGATTGGTGCCTTAAAAAAACACTTCCTTCCTTGTGTATTTTTTCCCCTGTGATCTTGTTCCATACTCTTCAAGTTCTTTAACGTCCTAATGGCAAAGGTGTACCGGGTTGTTAGTATTCCAGGCACACAAAGAGCTACACAGGCACTTTTCACTAATGCTTTGTACACAGTCACCAGACATCTGTCCAGGGGTGCTTGGCAAGGACCGTTTCAGCCCACAGACTGAAGGTTTGACACAACACACAGTTTGTAGTGCTGCAAATAAAGATTATTTTCTTTATTCAGAGGTGTTCTGTTTGCAATGATCTAAAACAGAAACGCAGAAAAACCTCACGTCTCAAAAGCTGACACCAGCAAATGTCTTTTTTCTTGTTTAATCATTTTAACAATTAGTTAATATTTAAATTGTTGTTGTACATTTTATGTTAGTCTACTAATGCGGTAATTTTAGCACCACTTTGAAATCCATTCTGGTGCTTTTACACATGATGTTTAGTTTACTTGTATAGTGGCTTCTGTGAGGGAGCTTTGGGCTTGAGTGGAGACTGAAACCAGTTATAAAGGGGGGGTCTCTGTTTGGTTGTGATTTTGTGATAATATATGTGGATTTTAGTGATTTTCAGTGGGAATTCAAGAGCTGAACTACTATTGAATCCAACTGTAATATTACGGTACAAAATGCCTCCTTTCTTGTCCCGTTTCCTGTCTAAATACATTACTGTCTATGTCACGTTCCTGACATACGAGATTTAACGATTAATAATGCTCCATGACTGTAAATAACAGGAATTTGTCCATGTGGGTCCTGATTTCACAGGATGACAGCTGGCAAAACTGAGTTACTTGTCAACTTGGTGTTTATTGCTCTTGAAGTTAATTTTGACTGATTTTGTTTTTATTTCAATTTGTCTTTCCCAGATTTGCAATACTAAATCACTGGAGCTTCAGTACCCCCTCTAAGATATCTAAATTTGTCTTTTCTTTACACGTTGACCCTGATTTAATAATATCTAGATTTCTTTTTGGGATGTGGTGGGTGTAAAATCCCCATAAACTGGTCGTATATATTCCTCATGTTTATATTTTGATGGGCTGAACCAACCTGTGCAGCCGGCTGCCGTTCAGTAAAAGCGTGCTGTCAGGTCGTGTGGGTAATTCATTTATTTCACATGCCTGGTTAGTGGCTCCCTCCTGTTCATTAGAGCTAGGCAGTTCGTCTCTACAAGGCAGCTCAGCTTCACAGAGAAATGGTTTCCTACTTAATAATCCTCCTGGCCTGAATGAAGACTTGTTAACTGCAACACATCACTGGAGGAAAGCACTCCCATCTTGTTTTGCCATTTTTTCTAGCTGACGTGCAGTCCTATTCTTTGAAGGAATTCTGAATTACAATATGATTTATTGTATTGATTTTCCATTATGAGGACCATGCGAGTCCCTTTGCATTTAGGCTCAGGGCTGTGCTGATTGTTCATCATTTTAATGCCCTTTATAGAGCTGGCACAGTGTGTCATTTTCAGAAGTTTTTCACTTACTTAAAATTCACAGAGTGCTGCTGCTCACTGTAGGAGAGAGACTCCATCGGGACAGTTGTCAAACACGCACACACCCCGGTCCCCTCCTCCACCGTGTGTCTCAGTTCAGCAACTTAATGGCCAACTGGGTGTGTCTTCACACAGACAACTCACTGCTTTGTTTTACCATTGGTGAAACCAGCAGTATGAGTTGGGCCTCCTTATAACACAAACGTTCATAATGGTTCCATTCAGGCTGCGAGGGACTTGTTCGGTGTCAACACTGGACATGGAGGTAGACTGCAAACTCTTGGGGCTTAGAAGTGTGTCATGGCGTAACTCTGGTTTCACTCCTGCTGTTTAATAACAAATTCCACTGTAAAACAGAATATGTGTTTTAATGTTATTTATCCTAATTTCCAATTTTCACTAATGTAAGGTAAAAAAGGGTCGGCCACAAACTGACATATAATGTTCACTCAACTCTGTAGCTCCGCTTAACTCTAAGGGGCTGATCGCACAGACACGCAAGCGGCGCACCATGTGTGCGCTGCGGTTTTCAACAATCAAAATTCACAATTGACTCAGACAGCCAGTCAAATCAAGCAAGATGTAATTTCCTATGCCGGTAAATAGGTCTGCTTGAATCCACTTTAAAATATGATCGCCTGGTAGCAAATGTAGCTCATGTGTCTCTGTGGTCAGCCCAGTAGTTTTTGTTGTCTTTCAGCTCATTATTTTGCTTTTCTGGTCAACAACTGTTTGGTTTTTTGACATGGATTCACACCTTCTGGACGCCATGGGAAAAACATTTTGGTTGTAAATTCCGTGGCGGAGGACGGCAAAAAGTTAAACAATTTAAACTTTCTACAGCAGTGCCGTCTACCATTACCATTGTCAGTATTCTCTGCCAGTCTCACCTTATTTTACCGCCCTGCTCTTGTCCACTCTCATCACATGCTGGATGTGAAATAAGCCATCTCAATTTAAAGGGTTATACTATGTCAATGTTGTGTTTACAGCCGGTTTCTGCTTGTTTCCTTTAAGCATGAGAAAAACATTTACTGCGTGTTTGAAGGTTCTCTGTGGAGTTTTCTTGAACACAAACGCTGTTTAAATTTAGTGTTACTAACATGTATTGTGTGTGTCCTTGAGGTCTAACAAATGTGCTGAATGCATTTCCCTTCTCGTAAAACATTTGCAAAGCTGAAACACACAGTTTTTTAGCATAGTGGGAAACTTTAACATACCGGACGGACACAAATCCTATTTAAGGTGGATTTTCCCATTTTCAGTGGTAGGAAAAATAAACATTGTGCAAAGTTCCACCTGCGTCTGTGGGGCCGGCTGGTCCTAGCAGCTTTCTGTCAAAAAGGAAAAGTCCTGCTGTCCTTGGAATAATTTTTTTTTACAACCAAAGAGAAAAACAAGAGTTCTAGTGACAAAGAAGAAACTGCCATATGACTTCTGTACCGACAACCAAAGAAAATGATCATCCTTTTTGTGTGTTAGGATTCTTCAGATTATTTTTTCAGAGTTTTGTGTTAATTTGTTCTTCTCAGTAAAAATAATTTTTGCATGGCGGTGCATGTGTAGCAGTGACTGCCTGCCAAGCTGTTGTGTTATTAGTCAGATTACTAGGCTGGCGAGTTGGCTGGTACATCTGTGTCAGGAGACTGATAAATCCAATCTGTTTGTACACTGTCCCCCTGCCAGAAAGATGCCCAAGATGCTGCACCAGAGAGACACTTAAGCAAGATTACAAAACACAGATCTTCAATACATCTAAAATTACATGTAATAATCAATCATGTTAAGATCATTTACACAGTTAATTGAAATAGATTAATCATGTTTGTAAGATGAGATAGAAAATCTTGCTATCACATCTTGCTCAGTATAGTCCAGACACAGCTCGATGACTAACATGAAGACTTGGTGAAATATATTGAGGCGCAGCATACATGGTTAATTTAGGTGTGAAGACAGATGGCTTTCATGTGCCTCTTGGAAGAAGCCTTTGGCAATCTGGAACCGATATGCTGAACCACTTATGCACATTCTCTAAAAACAATGATATTTAATCTTCATTCTTCTGTCCTTTACTATTTGTTTTAAGGAAGCTCCAAAGGAAAACGCCAGAAAAAGATAGTCAACCGGACTCAAAACTACCTGAACCTGTATGCTGCAGATGGCCTTCGCACACTGTGCATTGCAAAAAAGGTAACAAGGATCCATAAACCTCTTAAGAAGTGCTTAAGAAGTGCTGAACAAATGCTCTCTCTCATTAAACTGCGTGAGAAGTTGGAGATGATGTGTCTCAGTGGCTTTTCGGCAGGTTGTGTTTGTAGCCCATCACAGATGATCACATAGACTGGCCCTTCTTAAGTGGCATTCTTCGTGACTCAGCTGCAATCTGTGCCACTTTCCCAGACTGTTAATTTATGCTCTCACAAGCCGGGCTCATTATATCCCTGCTTGTGCAAAGCCCATCACCAAAGTGATGTGATAAAACACCTTCTCAAGGTCTCACATTCTCCTGTGGATCCTCCTCTGCCATGTAGGCAAAGGAGCTGCTCCACTGTTAAATTCCCCAAATACTTTAACAGGCAATGGTGTGTATATGTCCATGTGTTTGTGTGTCTGTGTCAGATTATGAGCAAGGAGCAGTATGCCTGCTGGCTGCAGCATCACCTGGAGGCTGAGACGGCCATCCAGGGAAGAGAGGAGCTGCTGTTTGAGTCGGCCCTGCGACTGGAGACAAATCTGCAGCTTCTGGGTAATTGTTTGATTTATTTATTTTAGATCCACACTACACTACACACTATAACTTGGAACATACCTTAATACTCATTTGAATTTGTTTACAATTTTACTTTTGGCTCATGCTTCTTCCACCTACAGGAGCGACGGGCATTGAGGACCGGTTGCAGGACGGAGTGCCTGAAACTATAGCTTCTCTGCGGAAGGCCGGCCTGCAGATATGGGTGCTGACGGGCGACAAACAGGAGACAGCTGTCAATATTGCGTACGCCTGCAAGCTGCTGGACCCTGAGGAAGAGATCCTGACACTGAATGCTGATTCTCAGGTGAGCAGCAGAAGCAACTGTTTCATAAACTTCACTGAAGTTAGCTCCGTGCTAGAGGACGAGTCTTAAAGACTTAGGTGATCCCCTGACCTTTCCTCTAGTGCCAATATTTCCATTTGGTTACTGACTAAATACCTGCATTCAGCACTGTTTAGTGCTAATTAGCTAATGTTAGCATGCTAACACGTTGAATATGCTACAGTTTTTCCCCAGATTGTGTAATATACATATTTTTTGTAGTTCTACATTTTGGGAAATGCACTTATTAGCTTTCTTGCAGCAAGTTAGGTGAGAAGATCAATACCACTCTCTCGCTGTATAGTAAATATGAAGCGACAACAGGCTTAACAAAAGGTCTGGAAACAGAGAGTAACAACAAAGCTAAAAAAATCACCTACCAGCAGCTCTTTAATTTACTGATTAATATGATATATCTTTTTTGTTAATCCATACTGAAACTCAAAAAGTGTACTATGTGGATTATGTACCAGACTACCTCTTGGCCGGGTGCAGTGGCATCCTGGGGTCTTGTCCTTGCAGTGAGCTTGCCAGACTTTTATAGTTCATGTTTTTGTTACCTTTAGACTGAGCCAGTCTCGCTGTTTTTACTCATTTCCAGCTAAGTTAACCGGCTGCTAGCTGCAGCTTCATATTTACTGTGCAGACCTCAGAGTGGTATTGATCATCTCATCTGACGGCAAGAGAGTGTGAATATACGTATTTCCCAAAAAGTCAAACTCTTCCTTTAAGATAATTTTTTTGCTTTTCTTCATTGAAAACACCTTCATTTAAAAAAAAAAATTAAGCTGGACGGTCATTTGAGGACAACAGTGTTTAATTCTGTACTGAAGCATCTGTCTGACAGATGTGAAGCAGGTCAGGCAGTGTGATATTAAACAACTTGGTGACCTGATCCTGAACTGCAGCCCACTCTGTGTCTGTCTCTGAACCAGGAGGCGTGTGCGTTGTTGCTGGAGGAGAGTTTACACTACATCCAGGCCAAATTCCTCTGCAGCTCTACAGACCAAGCCGCCAAGGCCTTCCACAGTAACTTTACAACCTTTGAAATCTATCCCTCTTCATCTCCGTCCTCCTCCTCATCCTCCCACACCCCTCCCTTCATGGTGCACCGGCTGGGCCTGGTAATTGACGGGCGGACTTTGGCCTATGCCCTGGATAAGAGTTTGGAGGATAAGTTTCTGGCTGTCGCGCGGAGCTGTCGTTCAGTGCTCTGCTGCCGCTCCACACCGCTGCAGAAGAGCATGGTGGTCAAACTGGTGCGGAACAAGCTGAAGGTCATGACTCTAGCCATAGGTAAGCAAAAGTTCAAGATCCACTTTCACGCTCATTTGTATTCATATAATACTCCTTTTTTATTTGAGCTCTTGACCCAAATGCTTTAGATGTGCTTTGACTGCCAGTGGAAAAAAGAGCCCAGTGTTCATTAAAGTGATAAAACTATAAGCTGCAGTCTTGAACCTTCAGGCTATCGTCAGGTTGTAAGATCCAGTAGCATCCAGACAGATCAAAACACGCCTGAGCCCCCGCAGACAGCTGCCAACAGGGAAAATATCAACTTAAAAATGCTCAAAGGACTCTCCTTTAACTGCATACTGTCTTAACTAAAGTTTTTAATTTTTGAAATAGTTCATGTTATGAAACTCCTTTCCATTTTAATTTTAAGAAACTTATAAGAAAATTATTCTTTATATCGTTAATGGACAAAACTCAAATTTAGCAGCTGGTGATTGTAGTGAAACTGACCTGACGGCCATCCAGGTAAGATGGAAGCCCTTAACATCAGAAACTTCATCAGTAGTCTCAAAAAGTTGTGACTTCTTTAAGAATCATGCTGCCTCTCCAAAATGCTATTTTTTTTAATCACACCTTCGTCACTGCAACAAACGTGTAAAACAAGCTGCATCCAGTTCTGCTCCCAGATTATTTCCCATGTGTATGAGGAGTAACGGGGATAAGCATCTCAATTTGTTCACATAACCTCTGGCATCATTGGGACTTCAAGAGGCTGAAATAGTGCTCTTTAGTAACACCTAGTGGCAGCCACAACGTTTGGTTTTGTGTATTGGTGGTAATGATAGAGTTGCAAGAGCTGCTCTTTCACGTCCCCCTCCTCAGATTTGTCCTCCTGGTCACAAGGTACATTATGTTCTGGCTCGTCTGGCAGTGTGTCTAAAACATACATCTGAGCAGCTGATCATTTTAATGTGAGACGCTAAAATGTTTTGGCCACCTTAGCAAACTAAATATTTATAATTCAATGAGCTCCTGCAGCACATCACTCATCATCATAACCCTGCAGCAGTTATTAGTCATACACAGACAAACTTAAACAAATTCCCCAAAGTCTTCAATCGTTAAAAAGATCTTTTCCTTTTCAATAATTAGTGACATTTCTTCCTCCATAATGTCCCTGTTATCATAAATATCAATGGGGCAGATTTGCTCTAAATTCGACGCAGTGAAGCTTCTGGAGGTTCCCCTTGCTTTTGTGTCAATATGAGTTAAAACAGTGAAGTGCACACTCATCATCATATACACCTTCTGCACCCTCGCTGTGACCACTGAGTCAAAACAATGTTATTTTAAGGCACCTCAGTAATTACACACTTCGGCTTAATGAAGCTGTAGCATATTGGAGGTGACATGAGGATGTCAGTGTGACTTATGAATGTCTTTTCCCTGTTTTCCATTTATGTGTTCCCGCTGTTCTCAGGAGGATCCTGTTTTTGCCAGCCAAGCACTTTTCTGTCATTGCTATGTTAGCAGTAATGTGGAGGAAACACTGCAGCTCCTCACACTCTTTTATTTTACATCTCTGAGGGGACAGCAGATGATAAGATTAGAGTGCTGATAGATATTAGAGCTTGATCACATTTTCAGACCTCATCTGCTGTTATACAAGAACGGAGCCTCCACCGACTGTAGTCAATATGGAAATTATATTTCACCCCACGTAACATTGCGCTGTCATTTGGTTTCTTTCTGTGGTAGTAATAGTTTAGAGTTGACAAGAAAAAGATACAAGTATGAATATAATAAAGACATGCCATGTACACTGGGCTGAAGAGTTAGTTAGAACCAGGCAATGGTGTTAATGCACTTCTGTAGTGATGAAATAATTAGTCAGTCTATCGATTAGTCGATTATCAGAAAATGCATCACCAACAATTATGATGACCATTTTATTATTTGAGACTCTAGAATGTCCTGATTGTCTGCTTTTCTCTGTTTTATATCACTGTAAATTTAGTCTTTTGTTGGTTACACTGAAGAAATCACCTTACAGTCTGCGAAACTGTGATGAGCAATTTTTACTATTTTCTAACATTTATACAATAGTCAATTAACATAATCGTTACTTTCAGTCCAATATGTAAGTGTTCAGTGTTCAGTAAATAAATAGGACATTATAAAATCAATAATCATATGAATAGAAAGATATATAAATTAACCAATAGGTTCAGAAAAATGTAAGAAGTAATTATAATGCAGTATTTTATTATGAAAGCCACAATCATTATTATGAAGTGTTTTGTTTCAAAAATGTCTTTAAAAGTCCGTTTGATTTCATAATAGCATTTTTCCCAATCAGTTTTCAACCTCGTAACCAGCTGCTACTGAATTAAAGAAGTTAGCTATTACTAGCTTGAGCAAAAACTATTTTAAAGTAACTCTAAATCAACCAGCTACAGGCTGCTGTACACAGCCACAATAACTAACCCCTCTTTTATTTGCCTTAACATGCTACCTAGCTGGGTTGTTGAGCTTGGGGTTATTATTCAGCATTAAAGTGAAGAGCCAGAGTCTGGTTGCAACTTATGAGTGTGATATAAAAAACTTGAAGCCACCGTGCACATACACTGAAAATGGAGTGAAGAAGGAGACATCTGGGTAACTTTTGAAATTAACAACATTTGCATTTTTATAGATTTTTGAAACTTTGATGCGGTAGATGAAATTTTAAGGATTTTAATGTAGAAATTATACTTTTTTGTAGAACATATCAGACACACATTATTGTTCCAAGCAGACTATTTGTATATGTGTCTGGAGGGGATCTTTAAAGTTTATTACTTTTCCATTGGATGAGAATATCTGCAATTAAGGGTTGAATTACTTTTCCGTATTACCAGTATTTTGTAGATACCTTTTCAGTAGAGGGGAGCAGTGGGGATATTGTACTGTAGCTCTATAGAAATGTGACTCCGTATTGAAATCCATCGTGGGCTATTCATATGCCACTCAGCACACTGCTGCAGCACCAGTGTGGTTGGATAGATTTTGTCATATTGGAACAGTATTTGCCAGCTAACAAAAACCAGTAACCTCTGTATGAGAACTCGTCACCACCTACTTCTCTTATTCAGCCGATGCTGCCACTCCAGTCGTGTTTACTATCGTGACAACAAAACCCTCTCTGCCCACCAACACTTCATCTCCCACTCCACCATCTATAGGGACAAAAACACCATCCGCAAAGTGGAGCAACAACAAAAACACTGCTCGTGTAGAGCCAGTGAAGGGCACATGGCGAATAATACGCACACGCATATAACTAATATAACAGCTGAAGACAGCTCTGTTAAAGCTTGATGTTCCTCCCACATACATAACAATGCAGCTCAGTTCTTTTATGTATCTTGAGGCTATGTACCCAGTCTCATATTCTGAAGGACTACTTTCTGTCTTTCTCTCCTTTAATTAATCACAGGTGATGGGGCCAATGATGTCAGCATGATCCAGGTAGCGGACGTGGGCGTGGGCATCTCGGGACAGGAGGGCATGCAGGTAAGGAGAAATGTGGGCGGGGACTGTATGGGAATGGGAGGGACGGAGAGAGAGATGGATGAGGCTGCGTGGTGATTTGAAGGGGATCGTAAAAAAAAAAAATACAGTATGGGAGGTTGAGAGGAGCTATGGGATGGAAGATAAGGGAACAAGGGAAGCACTGACATTCTTTAGCATAGTTAATGGGTTTTCATTACTCTTAAGTGCATGTTTTAGCCCACATTCAATACACATCCTCTAAATAGGATTGCCTGTGTGCTGCTGAGTCAGGAAGCTTGTCCTGTGTCCTGCAGTGAAGCAGTACTCTTTATGGGTGCTTTAGTCTCGACTCCATCCACACCAGCTTCTCTCCCTGCTCTAAGGTCATGGCCACAGCCAAGGCAGTTGGCAATAGCATGGTAAAAAAAAAAAAAAAAAAAAAGCTGCATTGACCCTCCCCCTCATTCTCTTTTCACTTCAGCAGCCTGTTCCGGAAAGGTGATCTTGCATTGCAATGATGGAGATTCCCAATTAACTTCCAGGGAAGGCTTTGGAGGCGCACTGCTGTGTAGCACATCTGTTAAAGTCTCAGTATCCTGTCCTTAACCGGGCCGCTAGATTAATCATCGTTAATCAAATTTGCTCTTAATGAGACAGCGGTCAGTCCTCGAGATTCCATAGCGCGCTGACACACACATTTCTGCGCTCAGTTCCAGCACACACTGCATTAGGATTAACACACCTCTCTGCTATCAGGAGCGCACTCCCTATGCAGTCGTTACGAGCACGTTATTAGAGCGCAGCAGAAACTTAAATTGCTGCACAACGAGGCATCTGCTGTTATTTTTCTTGTTGACAAATAACGTTGGCAGTTGAGATATGTCATAAAGGGTGCCGTTTAAAATGTAAGTTATAAACCTAGCGTGACTACAGGGAGGGTTTTGTTATAGACGTTGATGGATGAGACTGACAGCTTCCTGCTGCTGTAACGATGAATCCCAAAAGGTGGACAACTCGTTTAAGGGTTATTGCTTTGGAAAGATCATGCCCACTAAAGATTCATTAAAAAAGAGGCAGGCGAGTGTAGTGGGGGGAAGCTATTTCCCTTAGTTATTCCCTAATAACTGCACTAGTCACCTGTGTGTGAGTGTGTGTTGGCGTGAGGGACAGAGAAAGCACAGGATGGAGGGGACTGAATGTTGGGTCCTTCTGGTGTTTTGCAGGCGGTGATGGCGAGTGACTTTGCTCTCCCACGTTTCCGGTATCTCCAGAAGCTCCTGCTGGTCCACGGACACTGGTGTTACTCCCGGCTGGCTAACATGATTCTCTATTTCTTCTACAAGAATGCTGTAAGCCATTGTTAATTGTGTAAATACCTATCTTACATCTGTGCAAGCATGCGTGTGAAATTGAACATTTTTACAGGCAGCATATATGTAACTTTTATCAGTTGACTAACAAGAGGGTGATTTCCCCAGACTGGCGTGAGTTCTTGCTTTTCTGTCCTGCCTCCTCGTGGGAGTTCATCCCTGTTGTCTTTTGTTCCCACAGATGTTTGTAGCACTCATCTTCTGGTATCAGTTCTACTGTGGGTTCTCAGGTTCAGCCATGATTGACCAGTGGTATCTTATCTTCTTCAACCTGATGTTTTCCGCCTTCCCACAACTCATCACTGGCACTCTGGACAAAGACGTGTCAGCAGAGACTCTCCAACAACTACCTCAGCTCTATGTGAACGGCCAGAACTCCGAGGTCCAGTCTACTTGTGTATTGGTCGCCTCTTCTTTTGGCGTGAAAAGATCTGTGTTTAAAGAAGTTAGTAGTGAAAAGGAAGACGTGTTTTTCCTTAGCTGATGGAGTTTATCCAGTATCTACTTTACTTTGTATAGTAAAACAGACGATTTTATTAAAGTGGTTATCATTATTATTATCATAGCTTTCCCCATGATATTTCTGTTGGGGGCTGTTATGTCCATAAATAGTTGACAGTGTTGTTAATGTTACGATACAGTGTAACATTTTAGTTTCACATAGATAGGGTAGAGGGGTGTTTTTAGCTAAGGCACACTGACTCAGCCACATACAAACCAACCATATGTACAGTATCTAAATCAAATTCAGCAAAAACAAAATGTATTTAACTTTTGTAGTCTTAGATAGAGTAGATCGTGTTTGACTGTTTTCTTTTTCGTTTGACAACAAATTCAAAAACTCAACTTACTAGCTTTCCTTCAGTGCTTTCAACCACATCTTGTGGTCTTCATCAATCAAATAGAGAACCTGTAACATAGCAGACCTACTCTGACTTTACCCCAGCAGGGATCTAGTTTGAGGATGTCCCGCTGTCCCAATAATTGATCAGGGAAGATAAACAAATACATTTTGGGACCTTATGGGATTGTTACAATAAAAAAAATATGTTTGTGAATTGAATGAATATGTTATATAACAAATGTTTAAATTTATAATTTGGTCAAAATAATTTTACTGTAGAAAAACGGATATTATTATTTGTTATTATAATTGGAACCATCAGCATTTACTTCAGGATAGTTGAAATTGTTGACCTCAGATATGTTATTAATCATTAGTGGTATGATCTCAACCTCTGCTCAGTCACTGATTATTATTATTATTATGATTAGGCGTATGCCCATAAATCTCTGGTTTTATCTTGCAGGAATATAAGCCATATATGTTCTGGATGAACATGATTGATGCCTTCTACCAAAGTCTGGTCTGCTTCTTCATTCCTTACTTTGTGAGTCTGGTTTTAATTTCCATCAACTCGTCTTCACTCAGAAATTCCTTGTTGCTCTTACTTACTCATCATTTCCGCTTGTTTCGCCCTGTCTCCTCCCGTTTTTCTTCTTCCTCTCCCCAGGCCTATGCTGACTCTGACGTGGACCTGTTTACATGGGGAACTCCCTTTACCACCCTCGCTTTATTCACCATTCTGGTGCACTTGGGCATTGAGACCAAAACCTGGGTAAGGAACCTAATTTTAGAGTCATTGATGGCAATACTCGAAGATTTCTTCACTTTGAGATGCCTTCTTTCTCTCAGTGTTGCTTTTTCTCAATCAGATCAGCATATTGGATTTCTGAGAGTGCTGGTGTGAAGGCTGACAGGCACATGGATATTTAACTCCAGCTGATTAGATTGAACCAGAAAGCTCTGCAGCATCAGAGCCTATATATCAGCTTGACAGCGTCTCTGCCTCTGTCTGTCCAGGCCCTCTGCAAACTGGCTCCACCACATCACAGCACACCGCTACAGAGCTCCAAAATACCTGTTTATCCCCCCTCCACCACATTCCCTCCCTCCTGCTTTAGTTTTATTCTCAGGTACCCACGTGCTGTTCTCGTAAAACGGCCCGGCAGTCTTGGTCATGAGCCATTTTAAATTTATGACCCTGCATTGAATCAGAGTCTTTTCCATTATGCTGAGGTTGTAAATTTAGCCTGACAAGTTTTGTACATGAAAAATGTCCTTTTCACTAACTACCTTCCTGGACATGATGGCCCCCTCGTGCAGAGAAGTATTCACAGTGAGCAGCATCGACCGAAAGTAAACATTTCCAAATGCTCAGCTGGCAGGTACTTCATTCTCCGGCTGCTCGGGAACATAATGCATGCATGATTGGTAAACGGCTGTGAAAGTCAATTAAAGGTATTTGAGGTGACAGCAGGCAGCGTTCTTTCTCTTCCCCCATACAGTAGCTGTGAGGCAGTAATTAATTATGTGCTTGTGTGTGTGTGTGTGTGTGTCAGGAGGGACAACCAGCTAACCATTGTATGGAATTCACTCTGTCAGATGTCTATCAGCTCCAGAGGGCCTCTGGGTGACATGAGTGCTGTTTTTCCTTAGTGAAGACCCCATAGAGAATTATTACCTGACTCTGCAGTCTCTCAGCTCTGTGGAGCTTTTTAGAGTCTTTCAACTCATTGTTTTGGTTGTTCCTGTTTTTGTTCACTCTCAGCACGTCATAGCATCATTTCAGTCGCACTAGGTAGTTGTTTTCAGCAAAAACACATTGATAAATCTAGTGTATAGTACCCGCCCAGCACCAAACTGCAAATCCAAAATAAAATCTGTGTTGGTGTACATTTTAACATTAACAGACATTTGTCTTTGCATGATATCAGAAAACCCCAATTAGGGTCGCCAAAGCTTCTGGGGGGCCGGGAGACCTTGATTTTAAGGGCTGTAAGAAAAAAATAAGAAATTTCTTTTTTTTTTCAAATATACAGTAGGCCTATATCTCATTTTGCATTTCCTTCAGTTTTTGTTATTTTATAGGTTATTATTCAGTATATACATTTATAAAAATCTTACAGAATGAGGGCGCATGAAGACTTGAACACAAGCTATAGTCACAGAGCCTTCACTCTCTGCTAAACAGCCTCGTCCTGCATTAGAAAAGTCCACAGTATAATAACCAAAGAGCTAATAGACCAATGGCCACGCATCAGGGAGAAGAAAACACAGAATAGTCAAAGAAGTTAAGTAGGTGCAATTGTTTAAAATAAGTTTAAAATAATATATATATTATATCTTTTTATATTAAAAGGAAAATACAATTCTCTTTAAAATAAATGGTCATCAGTGATGTCCGCCTTTATTTAATTGCAAGAATGCTTTTTGCAAATGTTGTTTTTATTGAAAAATCATCCATTGTCGCCTGGCTTTGACGAGGGGGCGGAGAATTTGCATCAGCTGTGTGTTTGGCCATCAAGTGGTATTTCAGACTGGACGTGCTTCGATGATAGCTCAGTTCACAACAACAAAACACACAGATCACTTTGGTCTTAAAATGGGTTTGCGTTAACGCCGTTAATAACGTGTTTAACTGACAGCACTAATATATATATATATATATATATTTATTTCTTTCATCAAATAGTTTTCAAATAGTTTTCCTTGTCTTTTTCCCCTGCAGACCTGGATGAACTGGCTGTCTATCGCCTTCAGTATAGCCTTATTCTTCACAGTGGCTCTGTGCTACAATGCCTCCTGTCCTACCTGCTACTCTCCCTCTAACCCCTACTGGACCATGCAGAGGCTGCTGCAGGACCCCCTCTTCTACCTGCTCTGTGTCATCACGCCTGTAGCAGCCCTTCTGCCCAGGTACACTGTGCTTGATTTGTGTTTGACTGACTACACAAGCCCGTTTCTCAAATATTTATGACCCCGTTCCATGAATTTTATCTGAACCAGATGCCTTTCATGTTTATCCCAAGAGCCTGGCATTCATCTTTGGAGTAGTGCTGATGTGTGTCTTTAAGTCTGGCTCTGTTTTACTTTCCAGATATTTCTACAGGGCGTGTCAAGGCACGCTTTTTCCCAGCCCAGTCCAAGTTGGAAGACAGTTGGATAAACTCCCTGCTGAAACCTGCAGGAACATCCTCAGCCTCAGCAGGGTCAAGGTGGGGTCACCGCTCAGCCCCAAGCCTCCCTTCCTGTCCCTCGCTAAGCCTTCCCCTAAAGGTTGCAATATAAAAGACCAGAGGAGCTTCCCCAGCTCCAGGGCATCGCAGGAGCCCGTTTTACAAATGGACGAACGGGGCCGGAGAAGCCCGCTGGGGCCCAGAGACAGTGAGAAGGGCCTCTCAGATCTCTGCACACTAGTTCCTACAGAAATAGACACTCTTCCTTACACCAAAGACGCCCCTCCGCTCTCGGGGGAGCCGTGGCCTCCTTCCACCAAAGACTCTGAGTGTCTGGACAAGACTTTAGAGGTGTCGGATGTGAGTCTGTCCAGCTGGATCACCTCCACGCCTGTGCTCGCACAGACAGACAGCGTCCAGCTCAACCTGCCCCCTGATGGAGACTCCCAGTGTGCCAAATACACGAGGAATTCAGAGGAAAGACTCAAGCCTGACCACACCATTCATCCAGCACAGAGGACAGAGCAGGCGGTAGAACAGCTTCTGCACACCACCTTGTGATGTCTTACAGTCTTAAGTGTGTCACTCACTTAAACACTAAAAACAATTTGCACGATAGTTTTTTAAAATCTAATTTAATTGTATTTTTCAAGGAGATTCTTTTATAAAAGCTACAAATAGGTACTTTATATTTTGGATGTTTAAAGCTAAAGATATTTTTGAGGTTTAGGAGATTGAAGAACTGGAATATCTTCTGGTGTTTTTGTAATCCTGGGAAATGTTTATATCACAACGATGCATCTCAACACATGATCAGGTTTTAATCTAGGGAAGAGCAGAGTAGAGACATTCCACTGCTGGCTTATTTGGGAAAATTCTCGCTCTCTCTCTGAAATGGTACTCTGTTCATTAGTTCAGCTTTGCCTGTAAATGCATTAAGACCTGGATCACAGTGGCCTTGAATCAGTGTTTATATACCTGAGAAGAGAAGTTTTATATGTTTTAATCCCTGCAGAAACCTGTTTCTCTGCAGAAATGTATCTTTAAATCAGCAAATAGTGGCATTGGCTCAGTGCACATTTCAGTCTCGTTGCTGGATTTGCAGACTTTCTTTTTGTTACATTTTAAAGACTGAAAAGCGTGTTTATAGCTGTTCTGTCGTACAGTACATTCCAGTGAATAATTATAGAAGCTGTTGGCTTTAAATATAATTATGCATTATCTCCAAGAAGTCTTAATTTCAGTCTTTATACAGGAAGAATCTACCAGAAATGATGCTCTGTGTGTGTGTGTGTGTGTGTGTGTGTGTGTGTGTGTGTGTGTGTGTGTGTGTGTGTGTGTGTGTGTGTGTGTGTGTGTGTGTGTGTGTGTGTGTGTGTGTGTGTGTGTGTGTGTGTGTGTGTGTGTGTGTGTGTGTGTGTGTGCCATTGACTCATTGGATCTGTTTAAGAGTGCCAGCCAGATTCACATTAAAAGAATAGTTTGACATTTAAAAAAAAAAATTGCTTTCTTACCAAGACTTGCATTAGATTGATATCACTTACATGTGTGTCTGTTAAATGTGAAGCTGCAGCCAGTTAGCGTAGCTTAGCATAAAGACTGGAAACAGGGGGAAAGAGCTAGCCTTGCTCTGTCCACCTACCAGAACCTCTACAGCCCATTAATTGAGATTTTACATCTTGTTTGTTTAATCCGTACACACACTTGAGTAAGGTTGCCAAGCAACCAGTGGAAACTGCATGAGGTCACTGCTCCCGACCAAGAAGTAGTCCAGAATATAACTTCTTTAAAACCACCCAATGTTTCAGTTTTTGTATGGATAAAAAACCCAACAAGATATTGCCTGTTAGTGAGCCAGTGTGTGAATGCCTTTGGACAGCTAGGCTAGCTGTTTCTCTCTGCTTCTAGTCTTTATGCTAAGCTAACTGTTGTCTGGCTTTAGCTTCACATAAACTTCAGAGTGATATCAACCTTCCTACCAGCAGACTACTATAAAGCTCACTGTTTAAGATTTTATATCTTGTTTGTTTAATTCTGGTAAAAACTGGACTCTTGTCACTGTGAGGTTGCAAGGAACCCAGTGAAAACTGGTAATTGGGGAATTTTAGAAGTGCTGACAGGCAGATTTACCTTTGGACAGAGGCTAAGCTAGGTTAACTGTCTCCGATCTGTAGCTTCATATTTAGCATACAGACATGAGTGTCCTCTAACTCTCATTAGGAAAGCAAATGAGCATATTTCCCAAGATATCAAACTGTTCTTTAAGCACTGTACAGTAGGTTGACAACAAGCTACCATCACATTTCATAATCAGGTTTACTTGAAGGTCCTTAAACAGTTTATTTCTTTATTATAAAGAGTTTATCTCAACCCAGTCTAATTAGTTCTGCTGGTGCTCAGCTGTAAACCAGAAGCTCAAAGGTGAAAGGAGCTCTTTCCCAAATGCAAAAGATGTGGCTTTAAGATTTAAATTTGCACTTTGAAAGCATTATTTTAGAATTGCCATTGAGTATTGTTGCTGGTGGCTTCACATACAGTATGAAAAGGATGGAAAGTTTTATTTCCTTTCACACTTTTGAAGGGAGTCGTGATGTACTTTCTCATCATGCACAAACTAACTAGTAAAAGTATAGAAAATTGGAAAGATGCTTGTTCAGTGCACCTTTTAATATTTTATGATTGTTGTATCTCTTGTGACATTGCAGTACATTTTTGGAAAGTGTATCATTTACCAAAGATCATATATATTTCTGTATTTTCCAAGCAATAGTATGTGCCTTAACACTGGATAAGAAATTACAAATCTAAGAGTTTGCTTACGATGCTGAATCTGTATTTGTTTGAAGAGGAGCAGTTTGTGTTGGTGTAGATGATATTTATGAGGCTACATGCTATGTGGCTTCTCTCCTCCTGTCTGTTTTTGCACACGGTGCCTTTTGCTGGCATGTTGTTCACATTCTGACGCTGCAGTCTGTCCACTTTGTTTTATAGGTTCTGTCTGTTCTGTGCTTTTGGCGTCGCACTTTATGTGCCAGAATGAAGCTCGAGCGTATTCACTGCTGAATTCCAACACAGCCACTTACACAGATCCTTCACAGGAACGTTCACTCTCATCACCGCACACGGCCTTGAACACATCTGAGTTCAGTTTTTCATTCAGGTTTTGGTTACAAGGTAGGGCTACTGTAAGTTTCATGTTTTACGCTCTCTATGTGACACTAATGGGGGGGGGGGGTCATCTTGGTTCTATTACCTACGTAATAGAACCAAGATGACAGCTGTTGGTCGAGCTTTTCTAAAGAAATGGGTTGTAGCAAGTTGGAAACACTGAAGAGCTCCAGCCCACAACAGCAGCAAACACCTTCACCAACCTGGAAAAACTTTATTTTAAGTATAGTGCAAGTTATTTTTTTACTAATGACTTGCACCGTGGCTTCTTGTGAACAAAATTAAAATGATAATACTAAAATATTTAGACTTTGCTACCTGTTCTCTGTTCAGAAAAATGTACTCTTTGCTTAATAAAATGTCTCAGTACACTCATTTGTATGTTGTCTTTGCATTGACTCTTCAAGCACTACACCTCAGTTAGTTCATAAAAACTGGGTTATAATATATTTAAAGGACTGAAGGATCTGTAATACAGTAATATTTACATTTAATATGATATGGTGAATCTGGGGATTTTAATTTTGACCTTTGACTTACAGTAAGGAAAGCACAGGTGTTGCTGATTTCCCAGCATTCTGTGACGAGTAATTATAAATCCCTCTGCTTTTCTTGTCAATTCAGGCCCTGTTAGCATTCAAACTCTAGGATTGGCCAGGTGCCCATGCTTGGCAGATGATGTTCAGACAGCTTATTTAAAAAAAAAAAAAAAAGCTTTATAAATAGAATAAAAGGCACCAAATTAAAGGAAGAAAGTAGTGGTGGGATGAAAGTGTTACGCAAATAACTTGTATATCTGTTGACTGGGGTTCAACTTGACTCATAATTTTTGTTTCTTTTTAAATAATCTTCAATTTTCAGTCGCAGTTTGGTGAAGTTTAGGCAACAAAAGTACTTGGTTATGTTTAGGAACATATTATGGTTTGGTTCAAATAGACGCTTTCTCAATGTTAAAGCTGTTGTAGGAAACTTATAAAAATAACTTAATATTACTAACTAACTATAATATTTGCTGAAATGTTTACTGTCCTTTAAGTAATCCATGAGAAAGATAACCTGAAAAAATCAGGTTCCTCTGCCTCATCCTACTGCTCCTAATGACATTTGACAAGACTGACAAGAATCCACTGGGCTTGAACGAAAACAACCAATCAGAGCCGAGAAAGATATAAAGATGCTTTGGTTTGAAGGCTTGAAGATGGTTGATTGTTCTAAAAAATAAACGTTATAAAGAGTTCAGTCTAGACCTGCTCTATTTGAAAAGTGTCCTGAGATAACTTCTGTTATGAATTGGCGCTATACAAATAAAATTGAATTGAATTGAATTCTGTCTCATCCCCTGAGTCCTATAGTATTGGTATTTGATGGGAATGAGACTCAACAATCAACTATCTTTCCCTGCAAAATATTTAACTTTTAAAAGAAGAAATAACACAATTTTCCTTTCACTAATGATTAGCTGAATTCATAACACACCCTTGTTCAGTTCAGTGCATCCTGGCTACAGCCTGCATACCGTCTGATATAACCACTAGCTAATGCTCACTAACTTTAAATGCAGTGTAGCTGATAATAAATTCACTGAATTTATGATTTGTATCCACCTGATGAACATAACATTACCATTCATTAAGTTGCAATGTTGCAATCGCAACCATTAATGCAAATTCAACCAGTCCCTGTGAATTCTGCGCTACCAATGACTTGTTTTCTGCCAATTTGACCAATCATTACAGTTTCCTGCGCAAAACATTGAGCCATATGTCACCAACTCACTTCTTTGTTTCTCAAGATGCAGAGCATGCAGACTCCAAATTCTGAATGAATTATACAAAAAAGACCTTTGTTTGGTAACCAACAACTCATGATGGAAATATCTGGCTCTTTAGATGCTAAGTGCTCCACTTTGTTCAGCAGGTAAATACTAACTTTGTCGTTTGGCACCAGGTAGCGTACAGTGGGTGTCACTGAAAACAGATGCGTACTGCGGCTATAAACTGATGAAGGCAGTGAGTGCAGTGCAGGAATGGTACAGTATAGGTCATGTAATACATTATGTTATCCTCCTTTTTGCTTTATTTATTTTCTAATTACTGCTGTCTTAAATGTGTTTGACCCTCTGAACTTAAACATAATGGTTGTAAGCCTGTGCATTATGGACTCTAATGGGCTTTCCCACTAGAATAAAAGGGAGAGACACCTTCGAATTAGTTTCAATGTCAGTATTACACTTCTGTGTAGCCCGGTGGGTAGATCATGACAATAACGGTGCCTGGGTTAGGGGTTTCATTCCCTCAGGATCCACCACACATGCTAAAAATGTAACTTCTCATGATGCTGAAAGGCGTCAGGTACAAACAAACACCAGTTTGCAACTGCATAGCTTGATCCTTCACCTCCCTTAGACCATTTGGTTTTCAAAGAAGCTCTGGCTCCAGTTTCTGAAGGAGCTAATGGTCTTCAGCTCAGTGATATACAGCAAATCTGCATAAATTCAGCTCTCAGTCTGCTCACACATCTGTACAAAGGTGTGATATAAGAGCCCTTCAGAAGATGGATGATCTTTGGCGTGGTGTTGCAGCGGTTTGTATTTGCCTGGTGTGCGTAACATCTGCGATGGCTTTCCAGAGAGGGGAGTGTTATTAATGTTTCTTTTAAGGCACAATGAGGGAAAAGGGACGGACAAGGCTCTGCTGATGCTGCAGCGGGACGGCCAAATTACTGACCGCTGCTGCACTGTGCAAGAGCAGGTTCCTGGTCGGAACACAGAGATAATGATGACTCCTCTCCCCTCGCAGTGCTGCTCTCTCCATCTCTTTCAAAGCCCAAGTGTAAACCAGCCGGATTGATCAGCTGTTTTTTCTGCATACTGCGTGTGTAA